TGATGAGTTCTCACTGTATGATTTTAGTTTAAAAGAACCTGGCACCTCCTGCTGTCTCTCCTGCTCCCTCTCTCACCAAGAGCCACGCCTGCTCCCCCTGCCTTCCCCCTTCCAGAAAAGCTTCCTGAGAGCCCAGCAGATGCCGGTGGCATGCTTCTGGAACAGCCTGCAGAACCATGAGTCAAATAAACCTCTTTTCCTTTTAAATTACCCAGTCCCAGGTACTCCTTTATAGCAACACAAAACGTACCAGTGCAGAGGGCATCAAATGTCAAGGGAAGGAAACAGGCCTGAGGGCGGGAATGTCCAATGCAAAGCAGGTTGCTCAGCATGGGTCTCTGGAAATTCTTGGAAACGCCCCTATCTTCTATCGGCAGCTTCCTCCCCGGATTCTCACTTCAGACAGCAAGGTTGTAAACCCGGGCCACTGACCTTGTCTATACATATGTCACTGTAGATCAAGAACAATTTTTTTCCCTGTAGTGATTGATTTATGTGGGTCTCTTGGATCGGGTTAATTGTCAACAGTGTGAGCTCCTACTGCAAGACACGGAGTGGGGTTATCAGCACACTGTGTTACCCACAGTTCTTCAGACTGAGAGCTGCAGATGACACAATCCTATGTTGACTTGCTCCTGGCCCTGCAGGGCGGTTGGGCTCACCTGCCCACAGACAAGGCGTGATGACTGATTGCCTTTCGTCAGTAATCGGCTTGACATGGAGCCAGCAAACTCCCAAAGTTAGATTAGGAGGTGAGGTAATTGGTTGAGGACTTTGGATTTTAGTTTATTAATGTCCAAACAATAGGGAAGCTTTCTGAATGGAAACAAGCCAAAATATTTTGCCTTCAAAATCTCTTCCGGGGTCATGGAGGTCTGCTGGTTAAGGGTGGGGCTTGGGTTGAACAAAGCCAGTGGGTGAGATGTATCTCCATGAAAATGCACAAAAATCAGTGCTGCTGCCTTGTTGATGAGAAAAACAAGAAAGGAAATGCACAAAAAGTGGAACATCGTGGGATGCTGAGAAGGCAACACAGCACTTGCTCGGAAAATGAGTGAAAGTAGAAGGCTGTTAAAACTCAGAGTTTTGGCCTGCAGTTTTTTGTTTCTTAGGAAGGTCACATGAGAATGAGTGATGAACTTTCTCAGGGCCACTTTCTGGACAGTGGATCCTGTTTTATCTTTCAGAGAAAGGCAGGGACTATTCTCCAACGTTTTGTAGGCTGTCAAGAGGGAGGATAAATCTGAGACTGCCTTTAAATACTGGGTTTCAATTGCTTCCTTCCTTCCCAGGGCAGATATACAGTCTTCTGGTATGATTTAATGTCCAGACTCAAGCGACTGCTGTGCTTCTGCAGGATGGAGACAGCACTTTGCAATTATTTTTGTGTTCTCTGCAGAAGACAAGGGTCAGCCCCCAATAGGGGGACACTCAGGGCTGATGGTTCTCTTAGGGAGGGAAAGTGAGAGAACATGGTCACTGCTGGCCTGACTCCCTACAGCTTCTGTGTTTGGGAGAGACCTCGCTGTAACCATCACCACCACCTTCATCATCATCATCATCATCATCATCGCTGTCTTCTGCTGCTACTGTTGTGCTAGAAGGGGTGGAAGTGGTAATTACTCATGCTTTCTCCCCTCTTGGTTTTAGCCAACTCATTTAGCTAAATGAGATCAAAGAGTCAATTATAGTACCCAAAGCATAGGACTCTCTGGAAAACTGGGTAGCAAGATCTTTCGTGTGGTTCTTCAGTCTGAACGTACACATCCAACTACATTCCTGCTAAAGAGAAGCAGATATCCCTCGTGGTTGGAGATGAAGCCAGGCAGGTCTAAGAGAACCAGCAAGATATGTCCATGCCCCACTCAAGGAGTCTGCTCTTGGCCAATGTGGCCTAGTGGATTTGCCTGGCTCTCCCTGATCTCACCAAGCAGATAAGTCACTCTTCCTCTGGCTGAAGCAGCACACGATGGGGGCAGTCGGGGGAGAGACTGGAAAAGTGTATTCCAATACTGCTCTCTTCTAGGCATGGGGCAAGGTGGAAATGTAAGCAGTGGAGTCATAAGCATGTCCCTTTAATAACTATGATATTTGTGATCACCTCCTAGATGCCTGGTAGTTTGATCAGGATAGTACAGTCTACACCTGATTAATTTAAGGTGGTTTTGCTTGCTGATGAGGGCCCAGAAACTATGGTTTTACAGTTCCTCTAAATTGTCACTGGCACCCTAAGTCAAGCTTTGGGCTAGCAAAGGCTTTTGTTCTTGTACAGTTATCAGCAGGGGCCATGACTGGCCACAGGCTGAGTCTGCCCTGGGTAGTAGAGGTCAGGAGCTGGGAAAGGAGAGGAATTGTCTCTAGTTTAGTCTTCCATGCCTCTGACCAATGAGATTGGTTCGAGGATGAGGACTGATCCAAGGTAGACCAAGAGATATGATCTTGAAACTTCTGTTGGAATTTCTCTTCCTCAGAACTAGCAGCTCTCCTATTGGTGGCAGTTGCTGACTATGGGTGACGCACACCTGCAGCTGCTCGAAGAGCCCTGTTAAGACATCCAGTCTAGGAGGAGAGCCAGTCAGGAGGAAACCAGAGATCAAGTTCTGATTATTGTGTTCCAGTACCTGGATCCCACTATGCCTCAGCCAGAGAGACCGTTGGGTCTTTAAGTGGGCCCATATATCCCCCCTCCTTTTTTAAGCTGGGTTTCTGTTGTGTGCAACCAAAAGTCTTGGCTAATGCATTTGTGGATCTTTCCAATGGAATAAACAGTTTAGATCATTGATTGTAGAAATAAAGCAGGAAACATACACACATAGTGAGATATGAGGATTCTCTGAGCCTCTATGATCAAAAGTAGCCCACTCCCACCTTCAAGCAGAACTGGAGCCTGAGGTTGCAAGTATATTTACTCTTTTGAATTTTAGGATTAACTCCAGGAGTGGTAGCTGAAGCTGTCAGCAGCCAGAAACATTTCAGTTTGAGTTGATCAGTCCAGGTTTTTCATTTATCAGGAGTGGAGAGAATGGGGCTGGAAAGGAGTGAATATGTAGAAGGTGCTTTGGTATTTGGGGAGGAGCTAGGAAAGGCGTAGGTGATGTGGTCAAGGTGACTGAGGAGGAAACAGAACACAGAGGGTTAGGATGGGGGTGGAGGGGACATTAAAGATGTAGGAAGAGATGAAGGTGGAAAACACCAAAAGTTTTACCTGTAGAAAAGTCATAAGAAGTATAGCAAAGACAAAGTCTTCCTGAGTCATAAAGGCAAGGGTCATTCCTACCCTTGAACAATACTGGTCTAGGTGCCCACATAATACATGAGGAAGATTGATACTGATAAAGACTATTAACTGTTTCTTGCCAGGTAAGATTCAGAATGTCGTCCCTCCCAGGCATCTGTACTTCTATGTTAGAAGCTATGATATGAGATTATTGACAGAGTCTGTAATATTTTCTTAGTGAAATACACAATCTCTGAATTATGCTAAGGATCATAGAACACTCTGGTATCTACATTTCAGAGTCTGACACTGGCGTGATTGCAAGTGTGGGAATAGCGGGTGGGAAGATGGTGTGATCTGTGTGATTGTGGGTGAGTGTCATGGGGGAATGGATGTGGTCTGAGTTATATGGCATGTCCCTGTGTGTATCCGTGTGTGTAGCTGCAGTGGGAGGCACTGGTTTGAATCAGCATGGGGCTTGCCTTGTCCGACAGGCAGCTGTCAGCCAAGGGGCACTTCCAGTTGTAATTGAGAAATGGCAGTGTGCTATCTCTCCCGGAGCGGGATGATAGTAATTAATTGTTCATTGATCCCTGCAGGTCAGCTAGAGGTCAGAGAAGTTACTCTAGTGGCCTTCTAGTTTGCCAGGCAGCCGGGAGCAGTGATTTGAAACCTCAGTGAGAGGTGAGAACTGTCCTGTGCCCTACACCCTGATCCAAGGTGATGGGATAATTATGGTAACTTAATGTCTATGATTACAAATAATACAAGTCAGCTGTTCAGAAAAACCGTGCCAGCACACTATTTAAGACTTCTGGAGGAGGTGGAGAAAAGGTGTTTGACAGTGGATATTTTTCAACACAGAATGGAACGCTGCAATAGGATTGTTATTATCATCACTTTCAAAAGCTTAGGTAAATGTCCATCTGTGGGTTAGGCTGTGAGTGGAGAACCCCATAGATCTCATCTCAGATCCACATAGGTGATTCCATTCTAAGAGAACTCCTGCACAATCTGAAGGGCTCGTGCACAGTGAGGGGATAAATGAAGACTCAGTTCAGGCTCTAGCACTTCTGCAAAGTCTTCTTCCATCTGCCACATTCTCCTAGCATTCAGTGATCTCCAACACATGACAGGGACACCCTCCTTTCTTCTGTGCAGTCTTCATTCTGCAAATATTAATGGTGCCTGTCTTTTGTTCGAGACACCATGCTAGGTGTGCCTGTTGCATCCAAGTTCCCATGGAGCCTGTATATGTCCTGAACGTTTTTCTCTGTCAACATCTCCCCTCTCCAACTAGATTGTAAGCTTTTCAAAGGCTGACCATGTTGCCTATCTTAAACAACAGCCACAGCAAACATTTATTGAGTGTTAGACTGGCCTGGGCACATGGAAAGCTCCATAAAGCTTAGCACAGGGCCACATCAACTAGTTCCTCAATAAAAATTGATTAGTTAAAAAAATATGGAACCGACTTGTTCAGCTAATCATGGGGATGGTGAGGAGCATAGGTGGGGGGTTGCTATGGTGAAGTCTTGGTAGTTTCACTGTCTCCTGTGGGATGAGATTCAGAATGATGTCCCTCTGAGGCATCTGTACCTGTATGTTAGAAGCTATGGGGTGAGGTTATTGACAGAGTCTATTGTGTAAACTTTCTTTGCGAAATATACTATCTCTAAGTTATGCTAGGGCTTATAAAACAATCTGGTGTCTACATTTCAGAGGCATTTTAATCGAGGGAAGTGAGTGTTGGGGTGAAATCAGGGATCTGCTTTTCTTTTGAAATGTTGATAGAAGGTTCTTTCTGTGCACCTGCACTTCTCTATTGGATGGCGCTGGATGTGGTTGCCTTTTGTGGCTCTTGGTTGCAATACAGTTCTCTTGTTGAAATGACCTCCCTCTAACTGATGCCTCCGCCCTAGGCTCATCAATGGCTACCAAAGCCAATGGACACCTTGTGGAACACAGTGTGGCATTTCACCCATGGCCTTCATGAAATGTGCCCTTTTGCATTTTATGATCCAAGGCTCTTGTAGTTTCCCCCCCCATCTTTTTAGTGTTGTTCTCAGTCCCCCTCATGGGCTCTCCAGGTTTTCCTGTATCTTTTCTAAGTTCTCCATTGTGATTGCCACCTATAGTCTCTATCTTTAGTGAGATAGATGTCTCTCCCATTCCAAGTTCTCCATTGTAATTGCCACCCGTGTTCTCTATCTTCAGTGAGATAGATGTCTCTTCCCAGCCCCGAGTCCTTGTTTCTTTGGACTTCATAGGCAGACATCTTCACCTGAATAACCCATACCCATCTTAAACTAGTAAATAAAAATGGAATGCATGATCATATCTCCGTCTCCCATCCTCGCCTCTATACCTGTTCTCCATTTAGCAAATGGCACCTCCATACACCTGCCCAAGTGAGAAGCCTGGGGGTCATCCTTGACCCTCTCCTTTCCCTCGCCTCTCACCCGGTTGGTCTCCAATCCCTGGGATGAGTCTATCTCCTAAATATCTCTTGTATCCCTGTTACCTTCTTCACCTGCCAGGCCACCAGGATCATTCACTCCTCGCCATCTCCTTCGTAGAGCATTGAAATGGTTGCTGAAATTGTCTCCCTGTTTCCCCCCTTGCCCACTCCCATTTGTTTCCCACCTCCCTCTTAGAGCTCTTTTAAGAAATACAGATTACGGTTCCTGCCTCACAATGCAAAGGTCAACGGTGACGCCATCTGGGGCGCGCTTGGAATCCAGCAGGCGGTTGTTGCCGCGTCTTCCGCAACCTCCGCGGCCTGGAGCTGGCCTCCCACGCGGCCGCCCCAACCACCGCCGCCGCCGCCGCCATCACCGCCACCGTCACCTCCGCTGCTGCCTCCTTGGGGCCCTCCTCCTTCACTGCCCCCTTAGCCACCTCTACACACTCTGGGCCTTCTGTCCGGGAGAAGAAGCTGTAATCGTCTTCCTGTGGGCCCGGGGCGTAGTCATGGCGGACGGCGGCGGCGGCAGCGGCGGTGCGGGCCAGGCCTCTGCCTGGGCGGCCACTGGCGCAACCCGGGGCCGCGGGGGTGGCGGTCCCATCAACCCGGCCTCGTTGCCCCCTGGCGACCCTCAGCTCATCGCTCTCATCTTGGAGCAGCTCAAGAGCCGGGGCCTTTTTGACAGCTTCCGCCGGGACTGCCAGGCCGACGTGGACACCAAGCCAGCATACCACAACCTGAGCCAGAAAGCGGATAATTTTGTGTCAGCACATCTGGACAAGCAGGAATGGAATCCTTCAGTGAACGAAAACCGACTGCGCCATGGTCTGAGGCAGAGTGTGGTTCAGCCAGAGAGGTCGGAAGCTGGAGTAGACAGGATTATTTCTCAGGTGGTGAATCCAAAACTAAACCACATCTTCAGGCCACACATAGAACAAGCAATTCGTGAATTCCTGGTGGCCCAGAAAGAAGCGGCTGTACTGGTACTCCCTGCAGAGCTGGAAGGCCTGGACCCTCCAGCTCCGTCTCAGGACACTTCCTAAGAATATGGCTGACAACTTTTGAAAGCGCTATTTAATTTTGGGTGAAGAAATGGATTCGGTTACATAAGAGTGCAATTTCAGACCAAAGATAGGCCAAGGTCATCACTGAGCTCAAGATTTCCACCTACACCATGAGCAGTGACCAGATTGAAAGGGAAGCAAGTTCGGCAGAGAGAGAGTTGACCCTATCGCCCCCTGCATTACGCTGCCATTTGGCCAGCCTTCCAAGGGCGTGACACCAAGCACACACTACAGAGAGGGAAACACTACAGCAACTCAGGGTTGTCCTGAAACAGACATCTATACTTGGACATTGAGACTGCACACAGACTTTAGGGTTTGTGCTCTGGGATAAACGAAAGCTACAGCGAGAGGACATAATCAATCCTAAAGACAGTTTCAAAGAACAATGACAGTCAAGGTTAACTGGGAGTAGTATTTGACAGTACTTATTTGATATGGTCTCTCAGAGTTGCAAACTAGATTGTACACAACATTAGCGTCAAATAGCTTTAAAGTTGTGATCTTCTTGTACATGAATCTTCTAGCCAGTTTCCTTTCCTTTGTAAGAGGTAACAAAACATGAAACCCTAGAATGAGTGAGAAGTTCAGACATTAGGTATAAGGAAACTCATTTGCAGACTCTCTGTCCAAGGCTGCTTCCTGTCTTGCAGGGGCTAGTGAGTCTTGAGTGTGTTTATGTTATTCTCACATTTGTGTTTTTTTAGAAAAGTGGATGGTCAATAAATTGCTTATCTTTCAACAGCAACAACAAAAAAGAAATGCAGATTTATGTCCTTGTCATCTTTAAGCTCCGTCAGTTTTCTGATATTTCCAGAAGGTCAGACACCTGGCATGGTTTATGAGGCCCATGATAATGGGGACCCTGGTCACCTCTGCTACCCCACATACTGTCATTTCTCATATGACCGCCATGCCTATGGCTATCCTGGACACCCTGTGTTCCCTCTGCTCACTGTGAAGGGAATGCCCTCAACTACTCCTACCCTCCTTTAAGCCTCAGCCCCTGAGGAGCCACACATCATGCCCAACCCCCGTCTAAGCAGGAATGACAGACTCCTTCCTCTGTGCTTCCATAGATCTCATAAGGGATGACCACACTTACAATAGTAGCTAACAAAGCACTTGCCGTGTGGCAGGCAGTGTACTAAACGCTTAACTTTGCTTACCATAGTAAGTCCTCATGATCTAATTGAAGAAATCCTATCTTTATTCCCATTTTTATTCCCATTTACAGATGTAGAAACCAAAGCTCAGACACTGCATAAGTGGTGGGGCTGGGGCTGAGCCTGTGTTGAGCACAGGGCCACTTTTAACCTTTTTTAACCATGCTTTTAACAACACCACCTCACCACAGTGAACTGTCTTTGCTTACAGGTCTGTCATCTCCACTTAAATGTGAGCTTCCTCCAGGGTAGGGATTTACTTCGTTCATTTCTATTCCTTAACCCCAGGACCTAGCACATCACAAGAGCTCAGCAATTTATAGAAAGAAACCAGTTCTGGATTTGTCTTTTCCAACATTTAATTTCTCAGATGGTAGTATTTATCATCTAAAAAGTGAACAAAAGTTAATTTTGTGTCTGGTATCTACATGTCTAAGCAAGAAAGAGCTTTCTTATCCCTGGAGGTGTTTTATCTGTAATATTTACCTCTGAGCTATTTTAAATGATTCTTCAAAATTTAGAGTCCAGAAGGTAGAAGACCATGTCCTTTCTGAAAATGTCCCTTCCTTTCACAGGTACCAGCCTCTTTTTAAAATTAGCTTGTGAATATGAACATCCCAGCTCTTTAAAGTTTAATGTCCCAGCCATTTTAATTGTTTCTTTCAAAGTACAAAAGAGCAGCTGGGCCACATCGACACTAATCACTTGCCAACTTTCCTTTTTACAAAAACAGCTAAGCTCTTTCTGAGATTTAAAATCACTCCATCTGAGACCCCATCTTGGCACCTATCTTTGCACTAACATAAAAGGAAGCTAATTTCTGCTTTTAAGAAATGTGTTGCGGAAGTGATTTTTGGTTTGGGATTTGTTCTCCTTCTTTTAAAAAATAACATAATAAAGTGTAATACAACTTTTAAAGTTTTTTTTTTCCTTTACCAGTTCACTATTCCCCTTTTCTACTTGAATTGTCCTGAGACAGGGTTGCCAGATAAAATACAGGATGCTCAGTAAATATGAATTTCAGAGAAACAACAGATACTCTCCTAGGGCACAGACCATGCAATATTTGAAACATACTTGTATTAAAAAATTATTTGTTGTTTATTTGAAATTCAAATTTACTGGTGCCCCATGCTTTAGTTTGCCAAATCTCCAAATCTGCCAACCCTAGCCTGAATGCTTCCCGTTTCCACCACATGAGTCTGGCAAATGGAAAATGCTAGCCCATATGATGGACACTCCTGTATTCTGAAAATAAATGTGTAAACAGAAAAAAAAACTGTACTGTGACTTGAGAGAGCTCATTACATGCATGCATGCATGCCCACTGGTCCCTGCTAAATAATTCCTTTCTTGCAATCCAGAAGGATAAATAAATGTAATTTCTGGAATTCTATACATTCTTATCAATGAACTACAAGTATTTATTGAAAATGTCTCTGTTTTGGGAAGACTTGGAGTCCAAAGGGGTAGTTGGCACAGTCACTATCCCCAGGGTCACAGTTTAGTTTCATGAAGCGAGAAAGAAAATGATTTTAGTTGTAAATCCTAATAATGAGGAAAGAGAGTTTCAGAGAAGGAATACAGCAGTAGACTCCAGTGAGATAGAGTGAGACAGACAGAGGGAAAGAGACAGAGAAACAGAAATACAGAGACAAAGAAGAAACAGAGAAAAAGGGAGGGAGGGAGACAGAGACAAAGATATAGACAAACAGAGACAGAGAAACAGAGACAGAGAAACAGAGGCAGAGAGACTGAAAAAGAGATAGAGAGATGTGTGTGTTTCCTTTTTATGCTGTCGGGCGACTCTTCCATTCCCCCTTGCTCCTCCCCCACTCTGATCTCCGGGCTGGGTGGGTCCTGGGGTCTGGGCGGAGTCAGCACCTGTCACAGGCACGCCCCCTGGGGCACCATTTGGCCCTGGGTCTGAAATTGATTCTTTCTGGATTTCAGGGCAGCAGCAGCAGGCAAGAGCTCGGCTGTCACTTCCAAGACTTTTATAGACTCTGACAGCAACGCTGCTCCCTGTCTTTTGTCTTTTGTATTCTGTTTGTGTTCAGCCTCTAATCCACGTGGGGAATAACATGCGGGGCCTGCAGGGGAATAACATGTGCCAGCAGGACAATCTGCAGAGACTGGGAAGCCCGCTCCCCTCCCAGTCTTCCTTTTTGATTTATACACGTGCTCTGGGATCTCCTTTGCAGGAAATGATTTCTGGGCCCACTTCCTGGCAACTTTGAGGACAAGGACCCTGCACCCAAGGCACTTCTAGGCTTGGGAAAATCAGAATCTAAGATAGGCAGGCCAGTGTAGAATGAGAGTTACAGATGTGAATACATGTGGCTTCATAGCAGGGAGTGCTTCCTAGGACTGAAGTGTCTCAGGGGTCTTTGAAGAGAAGAGATTTGAGTAGCACCTGGAAAGAAAGGATAGGCCAAGCTGGGATGGTGCCCCCAAAAGGCAAGGCCAAGGGAAGGCGCAGGAGAGAGGGATGGGAATGGCGGGAGTGGCTGGCGGCAGGGAGCAAGTGGTTGGAGAGCCTTCACACTCTGATTTAAATGGTTCCCAATGCAGGAAACCAGGGTGCACCTGAGGTTGAGGGCTTCTCAAACTTGAGTGAGCATCAGGGTTAACCAGAGGGTGGTTCTGATTGAAATACACATTACTGGGCCCACCCCTAGAGTTTCTGATGCAGTGGGTCTGGGGTGAGGCCTGAGACTCTGCATTTCTAACGAAGTTCCCAGTGATGCTGGTGCTGCTGCACCAGGGAACCACACCTTGAGAACTACTGTGTAGTGGGCACTGCCCAGAGACCGAGAACCTCTTCCCTCTGCATCTATTCCCTCTCCACTTCCTGGAACTGGCTGTTTTCCAGATTCTTATGAAACACAATAGGTGATGTTGATTAATTACCCATTTTTGTTTTGTTTTGTTTGGCAGGAAGAGAGGAGAAGGAAGATAATTTTACCTGGTTTCTTTTTCCATCTACTCAGTCTTCGGAATTTCAGTTTTCATTTCTTGGGTACTCTTCCCACCCCTACTGCCAATTCACAGATAATTATGAACAGCCAGCAGGTCTAAATCACTGCACTAGCCTCTCCTCTTCCTTGCCCCTCCAGTGAATGCACCAACAATGAGTGGGGACAGCAGATTTGGGCAGTATTTCTATGAAGCCTGATGGTTAAACACATTCTTTCTGTTCCCCATTCTTTGGTGTGACTCAAAACCACAGAATCAGAAGAGGGAAAATGGGGTTCTATTCAGATTGGAGCTTTAGCTCCACCATTGGTTGTGGGCAGCTATGGGTATAAGGGGCAGGCTCTACGACTGGGAAAATGAATGTCATTCAATGGGGGTCTCACTAGACCGAGGGGCAGTGGTGTGTGGGTCCAGCTGGAGCCCATGTGGGAGGAGCTTGTGTTGCTGTCTGGTGAGTGACCTTTGAAGAGGTGCCCACTCAGTAATGTTTCAGTTGCATATTTCTTGCTGCTCCCTCTAAATTGTTTTTTTAAATCCTGGTCATAAAAACCATCCTACCTCAAAAATATTGAACAGGTGCCAAAAATGGGGAACAATCACATCCCTTCTATGTTGGACAAGGTGGAAGAGGAATTTTCCCCACTTTCCACAGCAGAGCTTTTGAACTGGAGCACCATTGCATGGTCTGGTAACCACCAGCTGTGGCTGTGCATGAACACAGCTGATCTGACCTAAGTAAGAAGAGACCAAGAAAAGGAAATCAATATTATTAGAAGTGGTATGAGAAGAGAGGTGGGAAGATCTCTGGGAGGTATCAGGAGTGCCATGGGCTGAGATGGGAAGGGGTTGGCAACCTATAAAGTATGGGCATGGAAGTCAGTTACCCAACACTCTTTACTCTCAGACAACACTCATAGCCCTCCCCAAGGCAAGCCAGGACAGACTCTGTAGAGCATCTCTGAAACCCCACCCAACTAGGGAGAAAGAAATCCCTCGCACGAAGAGTTCCAGTGATTTAATATGCACAGTAGGTTGCAGCTTAGCTCTCTTTGCCCTCAGCTTCCACTAAGATTTTTCTCTCCCTTGCCCACTCTTCTTCTTCATTCCTCCCTGGTCCTTGATCTCTCAAGGCAGCCAGCCTCCTGTTGTCTGGGGAGATAGCAGCTGGTCTGTGAATGAGTTTGTGAAAACACGATTTGCTTCAGGATGGAAATAGATTATTTCTAGGTTTCTGGATTGTGGTGCTGTTGCACAGATCCTCTTTTTATATTCGTGTCTTGGACTGTAGATGGAACATGGGCCGAATGTGAATGGCAGGGAGTCAGTGGTATCCTCAACGTGGGAAGAGCCCTGTGCTGGGAAGCTAGAGACCGTGGTTCTGGTCACAGCCATCTACATTTGCCTGGGACCTTTGGCTGCCAACGTAGCCTCCTGGGCCTCAGGTTCGTCATCCTTCTGAAATGCTCACCTATGGTCCCCCCAACAAAGAAGGCAACAGTTTTAAGATTTGACTTCTGAAATCCCCTATTGTGACCTGGAAGGGCTCGGTGAGCCCTTGGGCCCTCTTTTAGGAGCTCATGTTGATTCCTTGAGTTAGTTCATT